AAAAGTTCCTTTCATTGAAAAGAAACGAATTTTCAGATCTCTTTTAGAGCCGAAAAGTTCCTTTCATTGAAAAGGAATGACTTTTCAGAACTCTTTTAGAGCCGAAAATGTTCCTTTCAATGAAAAGGAATGACTTTTCAGAACTCTTTTAGAGCTGAAAAGGTTCCTTTTATTGAAAAGAAACATTTTCAGCTTTCTTTTAGAACCGAAAATTCATTTTTTCAGTAATACTTTCGGATTCAGATCAGATCAGATTTGGACTCAAACTGATCCGTCAGATCCAGATTTGAGATTCGATCCGTCGGATTCGGATCAGATTCAGATCCTGAAAAATGAAAATCAGATCAGATCGGATTTAGATAAAATCCAATCTGATCTGATTTTGCAGAACACTAATTATTAGAATGCTTTTTCTGGGAGTTATTTCAGAGTAATGGTGAGTTATTAAATAGTAATAGATATATATCCATTAAATCATTATCATTTAGATTTTCAAATGACTTGAGAACTGCTAATTCTACCTTTTACAATCAGGTCTTGAATATGTTGGACTTGTTTTGATAAAACTTTCAATATAATTAAAATGATATATACAGTAGCGATCAAAAGTATTGCATTACCTGAATATAAAATTTAAAATGAAATATCTTGTAATTTAAAAGGTATAGTGTTACAAAACTTAAATATAGAGTTCATTATATCTTAATCTTTATCAATCTTTTTTATCTTTTTTTTAAGAATATATATATATATATTTTTTGTTATAAATCTTTCGCTAAAGTGGCAATGCATTTCTTTTAATCGATTTAAGAAATAAACATCAACACTTTATTATATGATTTTTTTTGCTTTAAAATAACTATGCAACACATATAAAAAAGATGCCTTATGGTATTTTTCAGCTCTTTGTAATTTTATAAAATATCTATGATTTATCTTTCTGTTAAAAAAAGAGCTAGGATTTGTGCCTTATTTGACAAAGATTTTTCCTCCTGCTATATAACAAATAAGAAAAATGTTTCTCAATCAACTGTTATAAGAACTAAATAACATAAAGATAAAATTAGTGATGTATATTTTTGATGTTCCAGAGATTTGTTGTCCTAGCTATATATCCCAACCTGTCTCATACTATGTCCTAAATGTCCTATCTGTCCCATTTATATCCTATCAGTATCCTATCAATGTTTTATGGTAATACTAAATAAAACTGGTAACAATAAAGACTAACCTAAATCTGAATATTTACAACTCTTAATTGGTCAATATGAATGAAAAGTTTTAAGATTAATTATAACAGGTAAATGTAGCAATACTGTTGCAATTCAAAAAAAATTAAAAATAGAAGAACAAATTGAAGTTAGTGAATATACAATAAAAAGAACCTTATATAGAAATGGAATAAATGCAAAGGTTAAATACAAAAAACCATATCTTTGAAAAATACATAGAATCGCAAGAATAAAATTTGCAAAAAAATACAAGTCATAAACAGTTGAAGATTGGAGTAAAGTGATTTGGTCAGATGAATTAAAATTTATGACTTATGAATCAGATGGTAGAAAGTATTGTTGGAAAAAGTCAGGAGAACTATTACGCAATCATTATATCAAATTTACAATTAAATTTAGATGGGTAATATTATGGTATGGAGATATTTTACATCTGATAGGTTGGTAACATATGCTGAATTTATAAACATATGAATAGTGATTTATATCACCAAATTTTAAAGGAAGACCTATTAGAAATCATCGCATAGCATAAAATGGATAAGAAAAATATTTTTTTTAACAGAATAATGATCCTAAATACACTACACATTTTACAAAGCAATGGTTTGAAGATAATGGAGTTAAAGTTCTTGATTGACTAGTACAATCCTTAACTTAAATCCCATAGAATACCTTTGAAATAAAATGGATTATCATTTGAGATAACTTGGAATATCTGTTAGAATACAGGATCAGTTATGGGATGTAATTCAAAAAATTTAGGTTAAGTTAGGGTCTGATGTATACAAAAAGTTGGTTGATATTATGCTAATTCATATAAATGATATAATTAGAGCTAATAGTAGCTATACAAAATAGTAAATAATTATTTACCAAAGTTTTAATATAATTGGATTGATTTTTAATTTTTTTTATTTATTTAAAAAATTTAATAAAAAAACGATCAAAAGAAAAGAATTGCATAATTGTTCAAAAATAAATATTTTTTAAAAATTTATCTCATTACTATACAATGATTTTTATATATTGAATAAACTTAGTTATGATAAGCTGTTATTAAGTCTAGAGCTAAGGTTTTAACCAATAAAGTACGATGAATTGTATATTACGTAATTATAGTCACCACTAATTATAATGAACCTGTTTATACTAAAAACTGGTTATATCGAACTATGTGATGCAGAACTGATTTTTTATAATTAATTACACTGGATATACTAAAATTACATAGTAAAATTTCATATACTGTATCTGAACTATATTGGCTAAACCAAATATATTAGCCACATATTTGATATACTGAACTGATCACGTGACTTAAAGTTATTTATAAAATTATCGTAATATGAATAATCTTTTTTTCATTAGAACACAGAAAATTTTTGTTTAAAAATCTCTGATATTATGTCAAAAAAAAGGTTTGTTCTTTCAGCTGCACAAAAACGTGAAATATATAAAACTAAAGAAAAAAATCCAAGTCTTTCTAATATTGAACTTGCACAACAATTTTGTATTGGAAAGTCAATAGTTACTGATATTTTGAACGAAAAGAACGTTAGCTTACAATTTTAGAAGGGCAAGGAAATGTTAAAAATTTTTGTAGTCCAAAGTGGCCTTAACTTGAGAAAGCACTTAGTATTTGAGTTAATAATGTATTTAATACAAAATAAGATATTGATGGTAATATTTTAAAAACTAAAGCAAATTATTTTGCTAGACAGTTTTCTATAGAAGATTTTAATAATTCAGAAGGGTGGTTATGTGGTTTTAAAAAACGTTATAGTTTGCGTCAGTTTAAGAAGCAAAGTGAAGCTATAAGTGCACCTTCTATTGAGTCAATAGCAAATGATCGTATTGTTTTACAATAACTTCTTGCATCTTATAATTCTGAAAATATTTGGAATGGTGATGAAACTGGCCTTTTCTGGAAAATGAAACCTTCTAGAGTTTTAGCACGAACTCCTATATCAGGTCATAAAAAAGAAAAATTGTGCATTACAATATTTTGCTGTGTAAATACAGCTGGTACTAAAAAAATGAATCTCACATTTATTCATAAATACAAAACTCCTCGTATTATGAGAAATATTAACTACAAAAATCTTCCTGTTTATTATTTTTGGAATAAGAAAGCATAGATGCAAGTCAGTATTTTCAATGAAGTTCTTTTTAAACTTAATGAAATAATGAAACAAAAAAAAACAAAAAATTATCCTTTTAATTGATAATGCACCAGTACATCTTATTTTGGATGAAACTCAAGAAAAATTAGATAGTGTAAAAGTGCACTTTCTTCTACCAAATACTACTACAGAACTTCAACCATGTGATGCAGGAATTATTCATTCTTTTAAGTATCATTACAAGCGCCTTTTTATTCAGAATTAAATTAATGCATATGATAATATACAGGATGGTATTATAGAAAAGCTTGATGATTATACTATCTACGATGCTCTACAAAATGCAGCTGAAGTATAGTCAATGGTATCATCACAAACAATTTTGAACTGCTGAAAAAAAACAGATATTCTTCCATTAAATAACAAAATTGATGAATTTGAAGACTATGATACAGTAGTTTCTGATAGGTATAATTTAATTAATATTATATAATATAATATTATACATGATAGTTTACTAATACATATTTATTTTTTTTAGTTTTGATATAGAAATTGATGAGCTTGATATGTTACTTCTTCAACTTTCAGAAAAAGATCTTAACGCGTATGAATATATACATATTGAGGATGAAATATCAGAGAGTGGACTTACTGATGACGAAATTGTTGATACAGTTTTAAATATAAATAAAGAAAGGAAAAATATAGACGAAATTGAATTTATTCCTATATTGGAAAAAGTTAGTCCAACAGAAGCTGAAAAATTTATAAGTGAAACTATGAGATTTTATATGAACAAGAACGCGAATTTGGTGAAGTTAGCGAAGAATTAAAGGTTTTAAGGAAATTACATAAACGAGTTAAGCTACTAATTGTACAAAATTTAAAGCAAGTTAATTTTCATTACTTTAATATTAACGATACAATTGAATAGTATAACATTATCACACAAATTTTAAATAATATAATATCACGCAATTTATAAATATAATAATACATGTCATGTGAATAAAATAATAATAAAGATAATTTATATTTGAAAAAATTTTATTAATCAGTATAATAATATATATGCTAATAATAAACTCTATATACTGAACAGTTCGGTATATAGAGTGAGCATTATATAATGAACTCATCCTATCCAAACCAAATCCTACAGAACAGAAGATTCGTTATATCCAGTGGCGACTGTATTATTTCTTAACTAATATAATACAAAAAAATTAATACACATGATGCAAAATTTTTTGAAGTAAAATGCTGATCATTATTCAATCAAGATGCTAACATTTCAAAAAATTAGATTTGAAACCCCAATGTCAGATGTTATCCTGAAAGCCATTTTTCTGAAAGAACGTTTTTCCAAAAGCTCAGCTTATATTATAATAACTCTGTCTAAGGTTTTCAGAAAATGTCCATTCAGTAAGATGGCTTTTGAAAAAATGTACTATAACTATTTGAAATAATAAAGTATATTGTTGATATGTTAATTGTTTTTATTTTAATTGTTCTTTTTATTATTCAGATTTGTTAGTGTAAAAGAATAGATTTTAATCATATAAATTGAATAATATTGTATTTTTTTTAATAAAGATTTTTAATTATATAGTTTTATTTATAATAAAGATAATAAAATTACTTAAGATTTGTGTATTTAAATTTATTATATAATGAATAAAAGAAGTACTAATCCTGATACACTCTGAAAGAGAAATAGCTAAAGAATGAAATGGATAAATAGCGCAAAGCACGTTTAGCACGTGACTGTGAAAGAAAATGGTAAAAAAAGCTAATAAAACTGAAGAAGAGCGTGATGCATAAATTAAAAATGCTTATGAACGTTGTGACGGGTAAAATTTTAGATAGATTTAATTGGTAGAATAGGAAGTCAATTTTATTTCCATGTAGATCTTCTATGAAGATCATTTTGTCCATTTTATTGCCATCGATCAATTATGTAAATCCTTAGATGTCAAT